GGGGGGGGGGGTGAGCAATCTATCCTTTTTTGTCCTTCTTTAAAATATATAATTATTATTACTGTAAAGGCTTGTCAAGACTCTATGGCTGTATCCCATTCTTATCCCTGGCCTTTCTGAAATAAACATCTACTCGAGGAACTGCAAGATACCTTCACGCAAGTGATCACTGCTAAACATGATAGTTCACCCACAGGAACACGCAGACGACGCAGGCTTTGGTACATGATTTACCGGATAAAGCTGCCCATGCAGATCATTGCGAACGCTGACTATGACCTGACACTAAAGTCTTCTGCTTGAGACCAGAACCGGAGAAGGGGGCAGCAGGGGGAATCTTCCAATATGTGCAAAATCTCAAACATTCTGAGGCTACATTCTCTCTCCCTCTGACCATGCTCCCTCTTTCGCATCCGTTCGCCCGACTGACACTTCGCTCCCATGTACAATCTCTGTTGTCTGCTACTTCCCGGCGTTTGAGCGCCCCTCAATGGATAGCTTGACCTCTTGAGGGATAAACGATGGCCGAGAGGAGCCAGAGGTGGCAGCTGATGCTAAACTTCCCTCCTCATTCTTGATGCTGTATCTTTGGAAGCCAGGGGCAGACCAGCGCCTCTGGGACGCCCCTACAGAAGAAGCTCCCGCTGCGGCTCCTGGTGGAGCATGACCCTCAGTGTGCAAATAGTAGTTGCTCTGGCTCCGAGTGTGCTCTGCTGAAGTCCTGTTCGGTCTTGGGGGTACATCGATGTGTCGCAAACCCCCGACCTGCATGGGCTCTTCCTTGTCCCGGTCCCTCTCTCTGTGGATGCGCTCAATTTTTAATTGGCTTTGTGGCGTCTGCTACTTCCCGGCGTTTGAGCGCCCCTCAATGGATAGCTTGACCTCTTGAGGGATAAACGATGGCCGAGAGGAGCCAAAGGTGGCAGCTGATGCTAAACTTCCCTCCTCATTCTTGATGCTGTATCTTTGGAAGCCAGGGGCAGACCAGCGCCTCTGGGACGCCCCTACAGAAGAAGCTCCCGCTGCGGCTCCTGGTGGAGCATGACCCTCAGTGTGCAAATAGTAGTTGCTCTGGCTCCGAGTGTGCTCTGCTGAAGTCCTGTTCGGTCTTGGGGGTACATCGATGTGTCGCAAACCCCCGACCTGCATGGGCTCTTCCTTGTCCCGGTCCCTCTCTCTGTGGATGCGCTCAATTTTTAATTGGCTTTGTGGCCGAGGGGTGTGTTGGGGCGGAGGGGGGCCCATGGGTTGAGGTGGGGCTCCTGACATGGAGTTGACTTTGGTGGGAGTCCGGGCCTGCACTTGTTGCGGCGGCTTCTGCTGCGACGCAGCTTGCTGCTGCAGTGTCACGGACACACAGACGTCGCCCACTTGCAGATGGTGGCAGGTGAGACCATACAGTTGGGCAGTCCGCTCAGGGCTACAGGACGACCAGCCCTGTCCAAAAACGAAAAAGGGGTGTTCGGGGGGAACATCTATAGTCACTTTGCTCTGCTGCTCCCCTACATTGAAATGCAGCGCCACTAGACCGAGCCGCTGTTGACTAGCGCGGATGTCCACCACCATGCTCGAGTCGATCTTCAGCCCCCCGCTTACTTCTGCACTCCGCACAAAGTCCTGAGTCTGCAGATCTTCTACACGCTTGAGCTCTCCGGTAGCCAACTGTATGATGGCGCCCTTCATGAAGTGCGACGGGCCGGAGGGTGCTAGCAAAGGAGCCTGTGGGAAAGTACCAGGAGCTGGAAGATGCTGGGAGGGTTGCTGCCCCTGTTGGGGAAGCAGCTCCGCCACTGCACGCTCTGGGAGACAGGCTGCTGCATCCATGGCTTTTGTATACGTAGCAGGAGCCACATCGTTGGATTGGAAATGCTGCTGCTGCTGCTGTTGGTGGTGATGGTAGTCCAGGGGCACTAGAACATGCTGCCCATTGGCCAAGATAACGGCATGTCCTTGTTGAAGGAACTGCTGCTGCTGTGCTCTAGATTCAGCAGGATTTGATGCATAAGGTGTTCTGACTTCGCCCTGAGTCTCTCGACCCCTCTGAAAGCTTTGAGACAGGTTGAGAGGGACATGTGCTGCTTCCTTGCGACTCGTGCCGTGGACAGGAGAGGCAAGTCGTCCAACCACCTGCTGTACCTGAAATGGAATCAAATTTAAAGTGTCATTTTATTTTAGAATGTACATTTGGATGGAAGTTGCTTTTTAGAAAACACCACAAACTGGAAAGTGACAAATTAAAGATGAGACTGGCCTCAGAACAGATTTTGCCATAAATCAAAAAACAATCTCTGTTGTTTCTAAGAAGTAGCAGCCTGAGTTACTCAATCTTTAATACACCCAAAGAACAGCTAATAAAGGAAGGAAGTGGTGTAACTGGTGCTGACTCACAAGAATTACCTCAAAAAAGGCAAAACTCTAGTAGTAGTGTAATAGTGATGAAGCAGGAGACATTTACTACAAAAGTAGTCTATGGAGATCCAGATGTAAAAAAAAGTAATATTACATCAAGTTTGAGGAAAAATCTGACAAAACTCTAATAGTAGTAGTGTAATAGTGATGAAGCAGGATACATTTACTACAACAGTAGTCTATGGAGATCCAGATGTAAAAAAAAGTAATATTACATCAAGTTTGTGGAAAAATCTGACATTGTAAAGCTACTGAGAGAGTAGGTGTACTCCTAGTTAAGCTTACTGATTGGATGGATGATGTAACTGTTATTGGCAACCGGATAACGGTTGTCTTAATGTAAAAACCTAATTTCCAACTTCTGGGTAGTTGCAATAACAGCATCATAAAGATTTAATTTTAAAATGATATGTACAGTGCAGTGTTGTTATTGTTATGTAAAACGTCAGTAATTTAAATAGTTGTCTTGGCAACTAACTGATATAAATCAAGTTTAGGTTAAAGAATGAAAATTAATAAAACTAAAACTCAAATAAAATAATGAAAGGATAAATAGAAATAAACTAACAAAATTACTAGAACCTAAATAAAATTAGACTATAAAAATGAAAGCTAATTTAAAATATTTCTATATACCATAATAGTATATAATACAAAAATTACACTGGTACAGTTGGATCCAAAATTCTAAAACCACACCTGAGAAAATTTGAGATTCAAAATCTAATTTTGAAAATAAACAACATCACAGGATTTTCCATTTCCCCCAGCAAAGACATTAATTCTTATATCATTTAAAAATTACAATATAAAAATTAAAATGTTTTGTTATTCATTTAATTGGGTTCGCTTCATCTAGATACATGAACTAGACAAAGATCTGATCTCAGCATAGTTCACATTTATGCAGAAAAATCATAACTGCTTGTAATGCAAAATGAATAATACTACAAAAAATGCTAAAGGTAAACATTTTCACTACAGTACATTTAAGTGACAATAGTTCTGTGTGTTGAAAATTAAATCAACATGAAATCAAAACATCATCCTATTTACTTAAAAGCACTTTTCTGGTGATATTGTAATAACTTGCCCTTCCTCTGAAATGACTTCCCCTTTTCAAATAGTTTTTAGGTTTTGTTTTAGCAAACTATCTGCCCCTCACCTCAAGATCAGTGTCTGGTGTGCTCCTCTGTCCTGGCGACATTCTGCCCTCCGGCCTGCGGTTTTTTAAGCTCTTGTCTTGCTGGGGCTCGGGTGCAGATGCCTGCAGCAGCCGTACACTTCTGGCCGAATAAACTGCATCTTGATGGCTCTCCCTGCCTCCGTGTTCTCGGTCCCCTCCATTCACCTCCCTCTCCTGCTCCATGGAGCTGCTGTGCAGGTCTCTTTGCAGTTGGACGCCCCTGACGGCAGGGTGGTAGTACACGGCTCTCGGGCTGAGCTCCCCAGCAGGCAGCATCCCTACAGTCCCAAGCGGCGCTTGTGTCACCGTTTGATCAGAAGGGAGCACCAGAGGAACTCCCATTTTGGTGTATGCGTGGGTCGAGACCTGCTGCTGCGGAGAGGCAACTCCTTCCTGAATGACTGACGGATACGTAACCAGGTGGGAAACTGAGTGCGGCTGGGAAATAGCGGACTGAGGTGGTATCAAAGGGCTGGGAACGAATCCCGGAGGCACGGCGTAGGGAACCGCAGCCGCGTACGGAGAGCTAACAAACTGCAACGAGGAGTGAGGGATCTGGGCGTAGCAGAGCGGAGGGTAAGGAACGCTCGTGTGCTGTAACACCTGGGAGGGTACGGTGTAGGCAGGAGAAATGTGGCTAAGAACGGGGTGCAGACTGGTGGGCGAGTAGGTGCCAGCGGGCAGAGCTACTTTATAAAGCATGCTAAACTGATCCACAGGAAGCCCAACGAGACCCTCGCCACCATCCATCCCATAATGCACGCTCGGCTGGGCTCGCACCCATTCGCCACTACCTTCTCCGCTCGCTCCAGAGCTTTGTGAAGATGGGGCATCCTCACCTCCTCCTCCTGCACTCCCAATGCTGCCGCTGCCTCCCGCTCCGCCGCTGATGCTACTGCTGTTATTGTTGTAGGTAGAGGTGTTGTTGTTGTTGTTGTTAACAGGGAGGTCCCGCTTCTTGGGAGGGAGGCACTCCTGGTTGCGCTCGTGGACTGGCTTCATGGTGATTCGGGATGAGAATGGGCGCTGTTACTGAACAGAGAATGGGACAAAGCCTGGCAACCGCGGAAATAGCACCACTGGAATCAGCTCTGAAACCCTCCCGCTGGCCTCTTCCATCACCTTACCTAAATGCATAAAGAAATCATGTATAAACTAAATATTTTTAAACGACTGGTGTATAGGCTAGTGCTCAACATGTTGGCCAGGCCAATAAAACAGCTGGTTTTGAGGTTGTCACATTGGTTCCTTTCAAACTCTGCAAACAGCCTCGTCACATATATATTGCACTTTTCTATACATTTCAAATATTTTTGGTCAATTTTGAATAAATAGTGTAAAATAGGTGGCACATTAATTACAGCAATTCTGCAGCAACGTGCAAAAGGACTATACATTTTTAGTAAATATAGTGTAATTTATAGTAATTTAGTTTGCATTTCACATTTTTAAAAGACAAGTCTGACAATTTTCAACCAGATTTGTTTTGCAATGTCGGTAGTATCTGTGAATAATGAACACTGTAATCTTTCTCTATGTTACCTGCACCCAGATATTGCCGTTTAATTGTTAGTCTGATTTATTAGAGTTCGATTCAATTCAGATTATCTGGACAATATACACTTATAACCCAAATTTGCCATTTATTTTGCAAATTAAAAATAAACATTAGAAATAAAAATTAAAAACTTAGAAAATTAGAAATGCTGCCTTGACAGCTGAAATAGATTAAGTTTACAATGAAGTACTATAATAACTAAACCTGAAAAAAAAACTGTTAAAAAGCAATATTTAAAACACACACACACAAACACAAACTAACAAAAATGACAAAAACTGCACATAACAAACTTAAACTAAAATTAAAATCAGCAAATGAGTGACACGTTGAAAATCCAACATCACAACATTACGAAGCTGGTTAAAAATGGTCAAACTTGTCGTTTGAAAAACACATTGACAACACATTTTTTTATTGAGGTATGACTGTGTGTCATTTATACTACAGAGCAAAATGTGGAAGTCTTTGAGTAATGTTAACCACAGCCCTTTTTTTCTCGTAAATCAAAAGCCACTTTTCTAAAAACCCATTGGAAACTACCCAGGAAATCCACAAATGTGCCTTCCAGTTTGGCCTAAATACACCGGCCTATCAATACTAGAAAACAAGATAAATAAACTACAAAATAAAATCTTCATGACAAACAGCATTAAACTTTATTAATGCAGTTAAAGGGGAATTTTGTAAACTTCTATTTTTAGATAATCATACAAAATTTTTGATTTTCATCATATTTTACTTTATCACTAATTTTACGCCCCGAGTAAATCAACTATAATATACTACAACCTTTTAAGATTTTAAAGCGTATTATATAAAATAATACCATTTAACCTTGTATCTCAGAAAAAAAAAACAAGCGCAGCAACAGTCATAACAGTAAATAGAATTATACCTAAAAGAAAAAGCACTTGAAATACATTACTTCCAGGCTAACTGTATTGTGCCCACGATGCTTCTGTGATTCATACACGGTAGGTTTAATAAAGAGAAAGATAATGCTCATTCAAGTGCAGAAACAGAAGCGTAAGCCATTTCTGTCCATGTTCTCTTAAAGAAACAGACACTAGTTCTCATGTACTGTGGTCCACATGTTTGCCAGATCAGAAAATATTAAATAACCAAAACTGAGAGTCACAATGCCCTGTATATTAAAAACAGCAAATTTGTCATTTTTTTCTAAATTTTGGTATATTTCAATCTAAAATTTGATATATTTCAATCTAAGCATATCTAAAAATTTTATATATTTCAAACTAAGCATATCTAAATTTTGGTATATTTCAATCTGAAATTTGGTATATTTCAATCTAAGCATATCTAAGATTTGGTATATTTCAATCTAAGCATTTCTATTTACGGGTTTAGTGCAGCTTTGATTTAAAGTATCACATAAATACACGACAGCCTTTGTTTTGATATGATTAAACAAAATATACCCCCATAAAATGTCTTAAACTTGCCTCGTAGTAAAAGTAGATTTCTGATACTACATGCCAGGGGGATAAAAATGAATTTCCCAGCTTCTAAATATACTACTCCTCTTTTTAAATGGCCAGTTTCAGAACAAACAGAAGGCACTGAATAGCATGCAAAAATGAAAAGTTTCTACGAAACGGAAACTTCGCCCTTGTCCTGACACTATTAAACTGAAACAGAAAAGCGAAAAACATTAAAGAGCACCGATAAGACATATTTAAAAACACAATAAAGCAGATGTAGGTGTTTTGGGTGTCAGCAGTCAGTGTGAGTAATAACATCGCGCTGAAGTGAATCGTGGCACAAGCAGAGACACCAGAGATGTTTTCATGAAGACTCGAGCGTTAGCCAGCTGCTATTAAAGCCTGTAACCTCACTAGCCAGACATTTCACACGGGAAACATAACCCTTCGTTTGTATAAAAGAGTTTAGTGCGTTCGTTTCAGTCCGTTAAACCTCATTTTGTCAGTCAAAGCGTTTGAAACTAAAGCAGGAGTAAATGAGGGGCTGGGATTTCCACCGGAGCGCCGCTAACGGGCTAATCGCTCTTCCCACAGACTCAAACAGCCGCTTCTCCGACCGCGCTCAACCGGCCCGCGACAAAAACACTCACCTCCGCATGGCATCGTGTAGACGACGTGCTAAAATACAGACTCTGGGTGGAGTTCGTGCTATAAATCAGTGGTTAAATACGGGCTGCTGAAATCCGGAGGCCAGCAGACTGAAGCCCAGCGTCGCGCGCTGATGACGTCACGGTGGAGCCGATCCGCGCCTCGTTCACTTCTGCAGAAGCATCTCATTTTAGGGATAGTTTTAGGGATGGGCTGTTTATTGTTTTACTGGGTTTTATGAAATATATTTTATGTATGATATATTATATAATATACATTAATTTATTAATACATTATGTTATATATTTATTTTATATGGAAACCAGTCATACGAGTTATTTTTCTTTTTTCAAAACTCAGTGAACAGGAGTTCATTTTTAATTATTTCACTACATTTTTTGTTTGTTTGTTTTCCTCCCGTGTTCTGTATAAAATCGATAGAGGGCAATGTTGAGCTGTCACTATGTTGGGCCTCGAGGAGACAGACATTTAAAGGGCTTTACTGCCTTTAAGATGAAAATATCCTTGCTCTGCACCGAGATATTCAGACTTAGAGGCTAAAAACAACAGGGATCAAATGAGTTAAGCAAGGTGTTTTCAGTCTTTTAGATGCCACAGGCTCCCCAAATACTAAAATACTAAAACAGCATCTATATATTTTAATGTGTAAAGACCGAATTTAAAGGGGTCATATGATGCTGCTAAAAAGAACATTATTTTGTGTATTTGGTGTAATGAAATGTGTTTATGCGGTGTAACATAAGATAACATAACATAACATGTAACAATATAATATAACATAATATAACATAATGTAATATAATATAATATAATACAACATAACATAACGTAACATAACATAACACCTGTTCATACTACAGCACAATAGGTGGCGGTGATGCATTGCAAACAGTTTGCAAACAGCCATACCAGCAAGAAAAAGAAGAAGAAGAAGAAGAAGAAGAAGAAGAAGGAGGAAGTCCGCTGTTCTAATGGCCGCTGTGCTTTTGGGAAATTGAGTATTCACTGTAATCAAACTCGTGTTGATCGTGAAATATACCATAACTCTCATATATAACCAGGCATTTTGGGTCTGTCATATTTCATCACGTTGCACTTCTTGAAGTGAGCTGATTTGAGTCATGCTGCTGCTGGATGTGATACAGGCTGGAGGAGGATTCATACTCATTGAAGGTAGGATCATCTCGTGAGTCTCATCAATAACTCTTACCGCATCTGTACCTTTCTCCAGCGCTGAATGTGTTCATGATATGTTTTCAGATACTGTGCAGTGCTCCGGGCGCGGACTCCTCAGGTGTTTTATTAATGCAGCATTGAAGAGGCAAGTTTCTGTCTGCGTCTGCTGTGTTTGAATTGACTTTCATTATGTTGTTACACTTCGTGTGATGTTTGATTTGTGTTTTAATCTTTGAAAGGGGCGAGGACGTCCATGTGCTGGGGTTTGAGAGTCCTGAAACAGAAGTGTGTGCTGGTTTGGACAGCAGCTGCGTGCAGAGGTGAGTTCAATCAAAATAGGCTACTCTTGATTTGTGATTGAGACATGCTTTATTTATGGATACTATGGTGACACCTGAATGCTCATGTATCACATGTATGACTATGACATTTAAATTATACTGACAGTCTGCAATTTAGGATGCACTTCAAAATTCAAAATCGTTAAATGTTATAGTGCACTACTGGTTTTGCTTCAGGACTGGTTTTACATTGGACATCAGGTGATATAACACCACACCAAAACAGTTCATCATGCAGAAGTAAACTTTTCTTTGTTTGTTTTATGCTTTGATAAACAACAGCAGAAGTATTATATTTTATTAAAATTAGCCATAATATCAAGTGACTGAAGAATGTTTGCCAATATATGCACAACAAGCCTGTTGGTTATTTTCCTTCCTTAGCTATGCGCAATATTACTAGTTACTTTTTATTATTTGCTTTTGCCATTATTTTTCATTTGTGCTTATTAACATAACCTTTGTAAGTGCATAAACAACAGCAAAAGTATTATATTTTATTCATATCAGCCATTGTATCAAGTGACAGATTAATTTGTGACAAAATATGCACAGCCTTTGATATAAGTTGATAAATCTGGTTGTTTTGCTAAATTGCTACTATGACCATGTACGATATTGTTAGTTACTTTTTATTATGTGCATTTATCATTGGTTCCCCTGCTTTATTAACATACATTTTGTAAGTGTGCAATCAACAGCAGAAGTATTATGTTGTATTAATATTAGCCATAGGATCCGAAGAATATGTGCCAAAATATTAAATTGATTAATTTGTGCCAAAATGTGCACAGCCTGGTTATTTTGAAACGTTTTATTATTTGCATTTACAATTGTGTATTTACATATATCTGTGCATTTTAGTTTATAAACAACAGCAAAAGTATTGTTATTTTATTAATATTAGCCATATTATGAACTGACTGAATAATAAGTTGATAATCCTGGTTGTTTTGTTCCCCTAACTGTGTACAGTAAAGTTAGTTACTTTTTATTATTTGCAATTACCATTATTTTCCCTGTTGTTTGTTCACATGAATTTAGCAAATTTTGTACAATTTTGTAAATATAAATGATTAATATTTAATTAATACTAGCCTTAGTATCTAGTGACATTGATTTTTTGTTTTCCTTTGGCTTAAATAGAAAAAGTATTAGATTTTAGCCATAGTTTATTAATATTAGTCATATTATCAAGTGACTGAATAATATAGGCCAAAATATGCACATTTTTTAAGTTTATAATCCTGGTTGTTTTGCTACCTTAACTATGTATGTACCCTAACTGTGTACAATATGGTAAGTTACTTAATTATTATTATTTGCATTTACCATTTTTTTCCCTGCAGCCTATTCTGGGGTCACTGCACACTTTTTGAGAACAACTATAGTTGATGCAAGTGCTTTATCTGATCTGTTTAAAGGCTTCATTTTCATAAGGGTTTCCCCGATCCCCTTGGCTGGACGCGCAGATCGTCTTTCACCGTCGAGCGGTTCGCTTCTCAACACATAACTCAGCTCATCAAAGACACTCAGCATGCCAAAGCAGCAGTACTTGTCGCTGACTCTCTCTCGATGGTTTTGAGACATCATGACCCTGTTGTCTTCTGCCAGACACTTCAAGAGCTCAGGCAAGGTGAAACATTTTGCCCCAGAATCTATAAACACTGGCTTGACATGTACGATCTAGGAAAACTAATGCACTTGTTTGTGTTTTCCACTGACCACTAGGAGGAGTTATTAAAACTATCATCGGCCTCCTGCATTCAGACTTGCATCAGCAAGGCATTGTGGGTATTGTGTGCCACTTGGCCAGTACGGTTATCTCTGTGGCACCTGCAGACAATGAACGCCATTCTGTGGCAAAGACCACAAGACGCACAAAGTCAGGCAAAGTCATGCAAGAGGTAAGACATGAGGTTTTAGTCTGAATAAACATGAGATTATAAACTGATTATCTGTGAAATCAATTTATAGGAAGAGTATTTCAGTGTGTCCGAGGATGCAACCCTTTCAGTACAGGCCAAACCACGTCAGCCTGGACATGCACAGAAAGAGCGAGATGTGTCTGAGGTGAGCAAAGCCGCTTTGGTTTTCAGAGCACCTTTAGCTGGAGGTTTTGCATTGTTACTGTTTGTCTTTTATTGTGATGTGATCAGGCTGATCCAACATCAAACCTGACTTTCAATCTGCGTCTGTCTGAGGAGGAGAGAAAAGCCAAGCAGAAAGTGCACTTGGCCAGTACGGTTATCTCTGTGGCACCTGCAGACAATGAACGCCATTCTGTGGCAAAGACCACAAGACGCACAAAGTCAGGCAAAGTCATGCAAGAGGTAAGACATGAGGTTTTAGTCTGAATAAACATGAGATTATAAACTGATTATCTGTGAAATCAATTTATAGGAAGAGTATTTCAGTGTGTCCGAGGATGCAACCCTTTCAGTACAGGCCAAACCACGTCAGCCTGGACATGCACAGAAAGAGCGAGATGTGTCTGAGGTGAGCAAAGCCGCTTTGGTTTTCAGAGCACCTTTAGCTGGAGGTTTTGCATTGTTACTGTTTGTCTTTTATTGTGATGTGATCAGGCTGATCCAACATCAAACCTGACTTTCAATCTGCGTCTGTCTGAGGAGGAGAGAAAAGCCAAGCAGAAAGTGGCACTGCCGTTTGTATTTAGCCAAGAAAAGTAAGAGACCTCAATTCTCCTAAACAGTGATGTTTTAGTATCATTTATATACTATTATAGTTTTTATGAATATTTTGAATTATTTTTCTTTTTTACTTTTTTTTTTATTTTAATTTGTTGAAATTTTAGTAATTTTATGTACTTTGTCATTTTTTTTATTAGTTTTAGTTCAGTTTAGCTTTTATTTCATTTTAGACCCCAATTGTTGTAAACAGTGTTGTTTTAGTATTATTGATATATTATTATAGTATTTTCATTTTAATCATTTATATACTATTATAGTTTTTATGAATATTTTGAATTATTTTTTTTAACTTTTTTTTTTATTTTAATTTGTTGAAATTTTAGTAATTTTATGTACTTTGTCATTTTTTTTATTAGTTTTAGTTCAGTTTAGCTTTTATTTCATTTTAGACCCCAATTGTTGTAAACGGTGTTGTTTTAGTATTATTGATATATTATTATAGTATTTTCATTTTAATTTTAGTTGAAATTTTAGTAATTTTATGTGCTTTGTCATTTTTTTTTATTAGTTTGAGGTTTTTTTATATTTCAGCTTAGCTTTTATTTCATTTTAGACCTCAGTTGTTGTAAACAGTGTTGTTTTAGTATTATTGATATACTATTATAGTTTCTATTAATAATTTTAATTTGCTTTTCTTTCTTTTTTTAAATTTTAGTTAACATTTTAGTAATTTGATGTGCTTTTGCCATTTTTATTGTAGATGTAGTTTTTTTTAATATTTCTGTTTAGCTTTAATTTTATTTCAATTTTAGACCCCAACTGTTATAAACAGTGTTGTTTTAGTATTATTTACTCTTATAGTGTTTATTCATATTTTGCTTTTCTATCACATTTATATCACTTT